AAGCTTTCGAATATACAAGCGACGAGCACTGCATAGCGCACGCACGGCGGCGGCCGCCGAGTACGGCACCGAACGAGTTCACGGGTTTTACAGTCGCTAGCTTTTGGGTATACGCACTAACTCTTGCTACATGTGCTGGATAACTACCACGTATGCAGAATTAAAACAAAATCAGCTTACCTCCTATCTTCAGACGGCTAGTGCAACAGAGGTAGGTGCCGCTCGGCCTGCGTACTCGTTGAACGAGAACGATCCTGACGTCACGTTCACATAGCAGCTGATTTCCAGTGTTGCCGGGGCCTCGAGCGGCTAGTTTTGGTTTTGTTGGCCACGCCTCAAACAAAACTTTGAGGCGTCGATATCTTTAAAACTACGCACAATAACGAGAAAAAAAGTACACCTTGCAATTCAGGGACGCTGACTGCGCTAAAAACAGTCATAATTCCAAAATCGAAAGTATGGACCGGAGTTGCCCTTTACGTGTTTACTGAGTGGGGCTGGCAACCGCATAAAATCATGCAAAGTCGTGCAATATTTTACGGACTGGAGGGGGAGGGGGGGGGAGGGGGGGGGAGGGGGGGGGGAGGGGGGGAGGGGGGAGCTTCCTTAGCGTCAAACACCCGTCGCTACGCCATCGACCTCGAGAACATTTTTTCTCTTCGCTTTGTTTTAGATAGTTACCGTTAGAAAACCGGAAGAGGATAGTCGGTGGCAGGTTAGGAATCCAGGAGAAGCGCGGCCTCCAGCACGGGCCCGTCGCCTTCAGCCGGGCTTCGGCAACGCGTGGGACGAAGTGATATCAACGACAGAAATCTCGCGCTCGAAGGGGAGAATCTACGAGGTCCTTAACCTGTCACCAACTGTAGTTATCTGAGCGACAAATCCTCCCCGTATATCAAGTATCGGGTCGACGTACTACAGGCGATGGCAAGACCGCACGACGTATCGACAGGCTCTCTAAAAGCTCGAAACGCACACAGTCACCGCGATCAGGCCCCATGGGTAGCGACGATTTCGGCCATCCTGCCACGACACCAGAAAAGGAAGGTATTACATTTGTTGGCACAAGGGCCTCAACGAAACCAATCCGTCACGCTTAATTGTGGCCTCGGGTGGCCCAACGCGTTGGGAAGGCAGTAAGTGACTCAGACCTATTCCAGAAGCGGCGGCGCGGAAGAAGCGCTCGGCATTAACGACCTCCAGTCACCTAACTCAGCCGATACGCTAATCACCAGCGAAGTCAATTACACCAGCGCATACCCGAAGCGACACACGTGCGTTCGCTCGTCTATTATCTCTATAAACACGAGCCAGACGATGTAATCAAACCGGACGCGGTTTTATGTCTCTTTTAACGAATCGAATTCCAAAGAAATGGCTCCGCTGCAACCGTGCCGCTCGCTTTGGCTTGCCTGTTTTCTTATGCTCGCTCTTTTTTACGGTAAGCCAATCTTGCTTATATATATATATATGCAGATTAATGAACCGCACTTAATGCAATGAATCCAGATTTTACGAACATGTCACGTGAGGTTAGGAGAAAGCGAAGCGGCTGCTCCGAAGTCTGAGCGCAAGGAGAGAGTGCTGCGGAGAAATGTACACCTGCAAGTAGACGAGTTAGCGACAGCTTTATTTTTACCCCTTCTTTTTTTTTTTTTTTTTTTTTTATTGCCTATATTTGTACGAGGAAGGAAAGAAGGGCGAGAGAACATGACGGTTCACTGAACGATACAAAACAGCACTTTGTAAAACGTGTCGAAATGTTTTTATCGTAAACAGGGGGAGTGAAGGGAATAGACAGGCAGGTGGAGATTCTGGTTGATATGGATGAAGAGGCGATGTCTATTAACACCGAGCACATTTGAAGGCCAGATTATACAAACTCCGTACTATCCGGAGTTGACTTTACTTCTTCGCCAATACGATTAAAACGGGTTTGTTTTACGATAATATAGAAGCGGTCGAGAAACTTGAATACCTATTTCATTCCGACCATTGCCATCGCCTTGGTTTCACACGAAGCCGAGGCGAGGATGAAAATTATCATCGTTATCCTCGCGCCGACATCTGTAATACCCCGATCTTTATCTGAACTTCATTTTTCGTTTCATCATAAAGCACAATAATAACCAGGTTATGGCAACGTTCGCACAATTATACTTGCAAAGACGGAGATTAAAAAGACCGTGGAATTATGCTTTGACTTATGTGTGCAGAGACTGACCTTTACGGCTGCAGGCGATTTTCCAACTGCTACAGTTGCTCACGCGACGCCCGAGTGTTATCGGATGCACTCGTAAGAAGCTCGCGCTAGAGGCGGGCCAACGGATATACCTCCCTGCCGTTCTCATCCTGCCAGTGACTGTAGGTTCCAAATATAAAATAGATTTCCTTTTTTAACGTGAAACGTTCTTTGGCTAGGTGTACGGCATTTCGTGAAGCCCAAAAGTGAAGCTTGGATAAAAGCGTGACCGCGAGACTCGACATTCATTGGTTGACGAGTGGGAAAGAAGAGAGGTGCTCGACGCTGATTGGTTTACGGGGAGGTCGTGTAACCATGGGTGGACCTGGGAGGAGAGGTAGGCGAGGTAGGAGGGGCGGAGGGAGTTAGAAGGTTCTGGAAGATCACCAGGTTTATCATTTGACGTGTACACATGCCACGCGTTAAATTATCCGAGGAAAAGCGCCGTGAATGTAGGCGTCTCTCTGACTCAACAGACTAGACGTGCTGCTAAACGATGATAGAAACGTTTGTAATGCTAGAATGTTTCACGTATATGCAACACAATTGCCTAGCGATTTCCCATCCTTTTTTTTAAATTTATTTTTGGTACATGGAAAGTTTTATTTTACCCGATTTTATCCTGTTGCTCGCAGAACGTGGATTCAGAAATTTAAATATTAAAACTGTTTCCTTAAAAGTGAGTGGGCGTGTCGCAGAGACACGGGTATACTCAGGAGACACTTTTCTCTCCTCGTTCCGCATAGACATGGTCGTGTACAAAAATGAATGACCTATTAGATGTTCACATAGTCACACTTTAAGAAATCCCGAGCGTCTACTTTCCCGCAAAGCATTTGGTAGGAGAGCCAATCGCTGCGGTCTACGAAGGGAGCTTGGCGAATGGCGAAACTAAAATGATGCTTAAAAAAAAGTTTACACTGTGGCTCTGAGCACGCGAAACGCAACGCTCTGTGCCACAACAAAAGTTTTTTTTTTTTTTTTTTTTTGAAGCTTGCGTTTGTTTCGTGCCCGTCAACGATTCTCCTAGCACGTGACCTCCTAACGCCAAGGGCGGCTTGCTGTGGGTCACTGACAGCTTCAGAAAGGCGTGGCTTCTTATGCTCCCGCGCTTCGTCATTGGTTCTTGTCAGCGAATGCCGCAATCTGATTGGCATGCGGAGCGATAATAAGATGCTTTGCCACGCCCTGCGTTTCTTCGGCTGTCGGTGGCTATGCGGAGTGCACGTTCGTCTGCTTCGTGCGCAAGGGGGATGCGGTGACATCAGAACACCGAGTTCTGATTGGCTCTGATTGGAAGGATAGTGGGTAGACGTCAATGCCAGCACCCTCGAGGTCTACTCACTATCCTTCCAATCCGAGCCAATCCGAGCCAATCCGAGCTCGGCGTTCTGACGTCATCGAGACCCCTGCGCCAAGAAGCAGACGAACTTGCGATCCGCATAGGTCTGAATTTCTCTCGGCCAAAGGAGGAAATGGGCAAAACGTCGAGCGTAGCAAATGCGGCGTAGCGCAGCCCACACAGATGCTGATTGGTCGCAGATATCGAGTTACTGCTCGCCGGCCAATGAAAGGCGCACGTTCTGCGCTAGGCTGCATTCGCTGTTGTCAGCGTCGGAGTATTTAAGACGCGCCCGTGTAATGCTTGCATCGAGCATAAAGCGCCGCTGCAGCGTTCAAGCACGATCCCAAGGTCGTTTACAAGCGTTCGTCAGCATCTGTCCACACGCGGAAAGAAAGCGCCTGAAAGAATTAAAAAAATGTCTAAATAAATAGAAGAAACGTGCAGCTCGCGCTGTCCCACGAAGAGGATAAGAGGGCTTTCAAGTAGAAGCAAGTATAGCAGGCGAGCTGGAACTCCGGTCGAAAACGAAGTCCAAATGAATGACTGGTATCGCGTTTGTAGCTCGAAATATGATCACAGCCGAAATATTACGTCACAATGAAGCCCCGTACTCCACTAAAACCGATTTTAAAGATGCGACCAGCTGCTCTTTAGCTGGCGGCAAGCTGGTTCGCTTTCAGTTAAGGAACACTGGCGCAGCACTCAATTGTGACGTCAGGTCGAGGTGGAGCTGCGGTTGATTGGCTGTGCCGCGTACCGCACCACCATTGTGACGTCACGTCGCGTTCGTACGGCTCATGATCAATGTTTGTCATCCCTCTAACCGATAATTTCGGTTTTGCCGTAGACGCCCGAAACCAAACTTTGAGCCGTGATATTTATGAAACAGCACAGAATATCGAATAAAAATGATATCTTGTAATTCAGGGACACTGCTTTAGTTGAGAACAGTCGTGATACCAAATATATATATATATATATATTAATTTTTGTACTTGATGTCTCAAAAAAAGAAGTATTCACCAATAAAATTCTGCCAGCATAGCGTCCGTGAGCAACGTGAAAAAGCGCAATGACGCGCCCGAGAAATGTTCGAGTTCGCTCGCCAGAGGCGCTGTCCAAATTCGAGAGCTGTAGTCATATAGGACCAGCGTCTTACCTAAGACCGTGTGATAGAAAGCGGAAGCCTGCCGAGCCTGGGAAGCGCGGCGCGGGCGCTTGAGACTCGACTTCACGTGCCACTCCGCTGGTGTCTTAGCTAAGATGCTGTTTCTAGCAAACCCGTCCTGGTGTCTTCGCGTGGATAAGATATACAACCGTGTGCGGTGCGGCGTGTTTCAGACGGACAGTGGCGTCCCTCGTTTTCGGCCCGTTGATCTGAGCCGAAAACGGGCCGAGGATGCGCGTGCTTACCGGTTAGGCGAAGGAGCAGCAGGAGCAGGAGCTGTGGAGAGCAGCCCATTCTGCGGGACGCGGCGGCCGACTCGACGAGTTGTCTTGCCGCACGCTCGAAGTCATGGTCCCGGGGGCATTCGGGCATGAACGTAACGCGGGGAGAGAGATGGGAGACGGGGAGAGTCACGTGGTGCCGTGACGTCAGCCAAAACGCCCGCTCTTTCTACATCCTTCTCGCTGCTTGCACTACACGGGCAAAGCCAAACACGCCGCTTCACAGCCAAGCGGGGATGACGTCCTTGCACTCATGCTTGATATCTAAGGGAGTGCAAGACGACTCAAAGATCTGCGCTCAACTTTACGGTGACACACTCCGTCGATTCATTACCGTTTGATCATAGGCGATAATTTGACGTCAAACCCAGTCGCTATTTGTTGCGTGCTTGTTTAATTCAAAAGGCCACTGACACCCCGACATTATTATTTTGTTAATGTTGCCAACGACTGGAAATGATAAGCGCTCTCCTCAATCTTTAAAACTTAAAAACATCGCGTTTAAAACATAAAAAAGCGGGATTTGAAGCTTTTGCGCGAGTTCATAACGTATAGATGACGAAATGGTACACCCCTTACTTATTTGAAGCTCGCGTCCGCGCGTGCCATACCCTAGTTACGCGTGCACACTTAACCGCATTAAAGTGTGACAGAGGTCAGACATAACTGCGGTTGTCACCCATTTCATTAATCTACCACTTCATTTAACTTATCCTTTCCCCTGACTATCCGTATACCCCAATCCACTCCTTTCCATGCCGGTCGTAGATGGCATCTGACGAGAACCGCATGCATCTACAACACCTCTTTGAATTAAGACATTCGTAATTAAATTAATTAACTGCGGGTAATGATGCCCGTGTAACTATAGGGTATAGCTGGCAGTAACTGTTAACCATACTTAAGCGTAACCGCGGTTTAGGATTCCCGTCGGACACCCTTAGCCGTAGTTAAGTCCGACCTCGGTCACACTTAAATGCAGTTAAGTGTGCCTGTGTAACTGGGGTAAATCCGGCCAAAAGTTCAACCAAGATAAATTATTGATATTTATTTATACGGAGACTAAATTCGAGCACTGACAATATATTACACTCATGAGAAACCGCGATCCCCTCGAGACCCGATATCAAAAATGCTGCAGCTTCTCAACGGGCATTCGGCGGGTTGGCTATTTGTCAAGCAACCTTGTGCCCCGACGTCCAGAACAAGAGAACGTTCGATCGGCGGTAGACGTGACGAAGAGGCGGCTGGAGGTCTGGTGGAGGCAGACGCATCGGCGGAGGGAGTGCAACCGATCAGCGGAACACCAAGCGGAAGCGGAAGTCACGGGAGGCGCGACTGACTAGGCTAGATCCAGTATCCGTTACTGTTGATCACCCGATACAAAGGGGAGAGCCGTAGACTCCAATCCAATCCAATCCATTCATTTCATTTATTCAGTACCCGCAGCGCCTTTCGGCATTATAGCGGCGGAGGGGGGGGGGGGGGGGGGTGCACACACAAAAAAGAAAACAAATTAACAAGTAATAATCTTCAGCAATATTTTAATACCTCGCGAGATCAAAAGTTTCCGACACATCTCGTGACATGCAGATTTCGCGTCACTCAACGCACTCCATCACACTTCGGGACATTGAGAACAAATAAACGATTCACGAAACTCATTCCCTCTGAGTATACCAAGTTCTGCAGCACCTATACATAAAAATAATTATAATATACTGTGTTAACTTCTGCCTAAAATTTATTTTTTACGCAATCATATCAATCAAATCAGCCTACCGTTCCTAAAGCAGTATGAAAAGCATCGTTTGATAAATCTGAGACAACAGTAGTAGGTAATTTGTTCCACTGGCACACTGTTTTCTGAGGGGAAAAAATGAACTCTTAAAAGCCGCATTCTTGCACCTATATTCACGCACTTTATGAATATGATCCACACGCTCGGATAGGTGCTATGGGGGAAACAGGTAGGTTTCACGTGAAGTGCCGGTCTGGGAATGAAATATAGAGTGGAAAAACTTTAAACGAAGCCTTGCTCTGCGGCATTCCAGTTTTACTCCATTTCAACATTTGTCTTGAGCGCGTTGCACTAAACTTTCTATCTTTTAAAAATTGTCCTAAAACCATACCGAGCCGCTAGGTTTTAAACTTTTTCTAATTTATTCGTATCTAGACTGGTTGTTGGGTGCCACACAGTGCAGGCACATTCTAATATAGATATCACGTTTGTTTTATATAATAATTCCCGCGTAACCTGTGGAAAGTTACGAGTGGTTCGGCGCAAGAAACATAAAAATTTGGAAGCTTTGGTACGGTATAATCTACGTGCCGATACCAGCTCAACGAGAATGTGAGGTAAACATCTAAATGCTTGTAATCTGAAACCTGTTTTAAACGAGTGTTGTTGATATCGTAACAAGAACTAGCGGTTGTCTCTTAAAAAAAAGTCATGCACACGGTTTTCTCTAGATTCAACTTCACCCGCAATTTTTCGCACCACGTATTTTAGTATCTAGATCCCTTTGAATGATGAAATTGCCACTATATCAGATGTTACTTCTTTATATAATATGCAGTTGTCTGCGAACCTTCTCATGCATAAAGTGACGGACTGATTAATATCATTTACATAAATTAAAAATAATAAAGGTCCTAAAACCGACCCTTGTCGGTTTTAGGACCTTTACGAAGTACTTAACTTGCTCGGAGTGCGGCTATGGTTACCATGTGGGAATTCTCAGGCGAGAATACTTCAAAGGGCAAACATAAGAATTGCAAAAATAATACATGGAAATGCCAGACATGCCTCAGCACGAAAAGCCGAGGTGTTCAAAACCCTGAGAAACAGAAGCCTGAACAAGAGCCTCAGCTTAAGCAAGAGTTAGCGGCTATAAACAACAAGCTCGCTGCAATCATGACTATTCATGCTAAAGTTGAATCTCTAATGTAGATTAAAGACACAGTTGATCAGATCGAAAAATCGGTACAACTGTTGTCAAATCAGTACGACGAAGTTTTAAAGGGAATAAAAGAGCAGTTACAAGAAATATCCGACCTGAAGAAACGGATGGAAAAAATTGAGGAAAACAAAGACAGTGAGGAAATCCGCACGCTGAAAAAACAAGTCAGCAGTCTAGAACAGTACTCGAGACGACAAAACCTGGAGATCCATGAAATATCACAAAGTGCAAATGAGAACCTCCTTTGTAAATTAAATGACCTCGCTGAAAACCTAGAGCTTCCACAGCTAACCGAGAGGGATGTGGAGGGCCTCCACAGTCTTCCAGCAAAAACGGGTAGAGTTCCAGCTGTGTTGGTTCGCTTCGTATCACGAGTAACTCAAGACCTATGGCTTGAAAAAAGGCACTACCTAAAAGAAACCCGGTCGAATATCTCGTTTCTTGACAACCTGTCTGCGACGAACAAGAAGCTTCTTTGGTTGCCGAAGGGGAAAGCTGAAGAAAAACAATATCAGTTCGCATGGCAGAAAAATGGTAACTTGTTCGCGCGAAAGAAGACAAGTGACCGTGTTATAAAGATCGAATGCGAGGCCGACCTTGATAAGATTGTGTGAACAGCCCGTTGGCTGCGGAAGAAATTCGTTTTTTTTTTCCTGTTTCTAATGGCGGACTATTATCACGATCCAGCATCTTTTTCTCGTCTCGCTCGGGAATGTCTTGATAGTAACAAAAATGCGTTGTCATTTTTTTTCACTTAAATGCTAGAAGTCTTTGTAATAAACACGATGACATCGATACGTTTTTGACCTCCATAAATTTCGCTTTTGATATCTTAGCATTCACCGAAACGTGGTTTACGAGCACAGATGACGTTATCTGTTTCCCAGGCTATAACAGGGAGCGAGTATATCGAAGTGATAAGAGGGGCGGGGGGGAAGGGGGGTCGCTATCTATTTTCGTGATAACCTCGATTATGAAGTATCGTCTGAACTGTCAAAAGTCAATGTTGACTATGAAGCGCTAATGGCTAAATGTCGTTCTTTGATAGTAGTTGCCGCTGACAGACCCCCTGCCGGAACATTAACGAAGTTTTTTTGTTTTTTTTTTCATTTGTTGAGGAAATATGCAGTATGCTACTTCATTTAACCTCTCCTTAGTCTTACTAGGCGACTTCAATATTGGCCTGATCTCACCTGTGAGTGGTTCTTTTGAATTACTTGATATTGTTCAGACATACGAACGTGATAATACAATTCTATTGCCATCTCGAATATCATCAGATACGGAAACGCTTATTGATTTATGTATTACAAACTGTCATACGGAGGCTGCTGGTGTCTTATCTTGTAATCTAAGTGACCACTTACCAATATTCAGCTTTATTGTCGGCCCACCAAATTTAAAGAGTAGTTCTAATAATAAGACTCCTGTGCTATATAGGAAAGTTGATAATAGCTCGATTGGGCTCTTCCATTCTTTGGTAGCGAATGTAAACTGGGAATCTGTAGTAACTGAAACAGACTCCAATAAATCATATAATGTATTTCTATGCCTTATACAGAGGTGTTATAAACAGGCATTTCCGTGGCAAGAATATAAGAAGTATAAAAAATCAAGAAAACCTTGGATTTCATGTACGTTATATAAACGCATAAGGCAACGTAATAAATTGAACGAAAAGTTCATTACAACAAGAGATATTGGTATACTACAAGAATTCAAGAAAGTGAGGAACAAACTCAACGCGGATATTAAAAAGGCAAAAGCTCACTACTATAAAAATAAGGTTTAGCGGGCTGTAAATGAACTTACTTCTAAACACCATGCCGGCCAATCTCTTGCAAACCATTTAACTCTCATTTTTTAGTTTCGGGTTCTTCAATGTTACCTACCACGAGTACGCCTAGGTGTGAATCTTATGTCACATTACCTTTGGATAACAACTCAATTTTTCTGGCACCCTGCAGTGAAATAGAAGTAAACACGATTTTTAAATCCCTAGGCAACAGTGCCGCCTTTGGTGAAGATGGGTTCTAAGCCAATAAAAGGAGTTTCCTCTTTAATCTGTTCACCCCTTGCCCACATTTGTAACACTATTTTAAGCACTG